AGCAGGAAAGTGGCCTTTACAAGTATCCCTCCTAAGTCATCTTTCTAGATACAAAGTCAATTCAAAGGAGAGATGAAGCAAATCTGCTTCCTTCACCCAAAGCCCGTCATCAGTGACGACTTTGCTAGTTAGTTGTTGTGTCTGATCCCACCTGTGGTGAAGCCTGGCATGCGTTGTGCATCTGCTCTGTTAGCACCGAGAGCGACACAAACACAACGGGGGAAGTAAGGAGTCAGTTTTAAGTTCTCAGGAAATTCTGTGAGTTTAGGAGATCCAGGAGGTTGGTCAATAGGAGGAGGATCCAGAAAAGTATCAGAAAGGGAAAGAAAATCATTGACTTCAATTCCCATCAGGTTTTGTGTATATATGTGTGTGTAGAATACATATATAATATTCACACACACACACACACACACACACACACACACTCACACACACCCAACACCAACACATATACATCTAACATAATATGCCACGATCCTGACATCTGAAGTCCCTTTTGGACACAAAATGTAGTAGTTTATTAAAGATGTTTTTCCATTATATGTCTGGTCTTATGACTGAAATCAGTGGAAATATAAGGCTTCCTTGGCAGCGAATGATATTGAAGCATTCTGCCGCAAGGTGGGGTCTACACAGTCACCCACACCTTGCTCTAACCATGGATACTGTTTGCACAGAAACCACTCTTCCCTTTGGTGTCTGTGTTGTTAGGGTGGTCCTGCGCACGTGTGTGTGTTGAGACCGGAGCGGATTATAAATATTTCTTAGAGGTTCGCTGTATGCTCTCATTGCTGTGTTCTTGCAGAGGAGTACTTGGTTTTCATGCATAGACTATCTAGTACTTCCCCTAGAAAATCGCATGATCGAAGGTAAGGTAATTTATGTTCATCTTACAACGTATAGATTAATTTGTGAAATTAACCTTTTGCTTTTTAAAATATTTGTCTTCCTCCGTGTGCCAATCTGCCAGTTCCAGCATTTGAGCCATTTGCATGGCTCCCTGTGGAAGGTTGCTGTGTTGTAGGGTTTCCCTGTGTTTGACCTGCTCTTCTCCAGAGTCCTGATTGTGTTAGAGGTAGCATTCTGATTCTTCACTCTTCCCTCCTTGAGTGGGGGTGTGGAGGCCCTGGACATGTTGGGCTGTTGGGGCTCCTGAGTTCTTCCCCAAAGGGCTCCCCTATTTTGGAAGCCCCATGTATATATGTCATAAACTCTTGGTTTCCAGGGAGTCATAGCTTTGAGACTTGGCAGTTGATACTTAGGGAGGGAAGAGCTCATAGCATCCCATGCTGTGTGGGTGGACTTCTGCTGGCAGGTGTGACTTAATGATTGAGAGCCTGCATGGGCAACATGCAGCATGAATGCTGGGTGTCTACCCCAGGTGTCTGGCTCAGTTGGGAATATGGAGCAGGATGAGAGAAAAGCAGTCGGATTTGTATCCTGGCTACAAAGGACGTGTCCGTCGATCTCAGAACCCAGGTTATGGAGGAGGCTTCGTGGAAAGCCTGCCCGTGGTGGGAGTTGGGGCGGTTGGGGACATGGGCACCACACTGTTTCCCTCTTCTCTTGCTATTTCCATGTCTGAGAATGTCAGATTCTCGTGTCCTATCAAGGAATCGGGACTTATGGCCTGGGCGATGGCAGAGTCTGGGCTGGGCCTGAAGTAGCCCTAAGACAGGCAGTTTAAACACCGGAAGTGTCACATCTCACGGTGATCTTCCTCCTGCTCGGACACAGTGCTGGGAGCAGGCGGCAGGTTCAGGGCCTGCCGGCGTCACCCAGGCACCTGCCATTGGTCTGAATTGCTCTCAGGGCTTATCTTCTCTAAACCTGTCACTGGTGGGTAAAAGCAGCCCCTGGGCTGCCGTCACCTCTGATGAACGGTACACGTCCCAGTGGCTGTAGAGCTGGCTGTGTGGTTGCTCCCACAGGCAGTTTTTGATGGGCTTGCCTGGGTTTAAGTGATCAATAGGGATTTTTCAAGAAAGCCTGGTCCACAAGCTCTTAGCTTGGCCTCTCCATCCTACTCCGCTGTGGGGAAGGCGTCCAGTGATCTCCGGCACATGTCTGTGCACTTTCTCACCCACTCTTTTAGGCCTAGAGAGAACCTTTCCCCTCCCCTTCCTCCTGCCATTTATTTATTTATTTATTTATTATAGTTAATTATTAATTTCAGAGAGGAAGGAAGAGAGACAGAGAGAAACATCAATGATGAGAGGGAATCATTGATTGGCTGCCTCCTGCAAGTCCCACACTGGGTATCGAGCTTGCAACCTGAGTATGTGCCCTGACCGGGAATCGAACCGTGACCTTCTGGCTCATAGGTTGATAATCAACCAGGAAGTCATACTGGCTAGGCCTCCTGCCTTTTTAAAAAACATATAAAGTAAACAAACAAACAAACAAACAAAAACCATATAAAGTGAGAAACACATTAAAAAGCACACACATATATTTTTCTTTTATTTCAGAGAGGAAGGGAAAGGGAGAGAGAGATAGAAACATCAATGATGACAGAGAATGAATCATTGGTCGGCTACCTCCTACATACCCCCCACTGGGGATTGAGCCCACAACTCGGGTATGTGCCCTGACCAGGAATTGAACCATGACCTCCAGGTTCATAGGTCGATGCTCAACCATTGAGCCACACCAGGCGGGCAGTGAGAAACACATTTTAATTCGGTTCTCTTTCTCTTAATAATATACAAGTTGAAGTTTCAGTGTGTGCTTGTCGGTCAGTGGTTATCAGTGTGGCCGTGGCCGTGGCCGGAGATGGCCACTGGAGCCGAGCAGGACTGCCCAGCGGCATTGCTGCGATGAGGTGCAATGTCTCCTCATTTTTACTGACGCTCAGAAAGGGGAGGTTTGGGTTTTCCCCCCTGACGTGGCACAGCCAGAGCCAGGAACTGGACTCAGGACCCAGGCTCCGATCGGGAACGTCGTGGCCTCTGACCTGGGCTGTCCGTGTGGAGTCGGTGCAGACAGGGCCGTGCCCAAAGTTCTGTCTGGGGACGGGCCCATGAGCGTCCTCTCTCTTCCCTCCGCCAGCTTCCCGTGCGGCCTGCGACCCGTGGAAGGAGAGTGGCGACGTGTCCGACAGCGGCAGCAGCACCACCAGCGGGCACTGGAGTGCGAGCAGTGGCGTTTCCACCCCCTCGCCCCCGCACCCCCAGGCCAGCCCCAAGTATCTGGGGGACGCCTTTGGTTCTCCCCAAACCGATGCTGGATTTGAAACTGATCCGGACGCTTTCCTGTTGGACGAACCAGCTCCACGTAAAAGAAAGGTGTGTGGTGATGTGAGCGTGAGCTCGGGCTGGCGAGGCTGACGTCCACGTGGGGCCCACGGGTCCCAGGCGTTCTAGGGCTCCATCCCATTTTCGTTTTCCTCTGCTGCTGTTCCCTCTGGACATTCCCAGGAGCTCTCTTCGATGCCGGTTCCTTTCCGCCTCTGTGCCGGTCCCCGCCTTTCTGCTGCTCTCCTGAGGCTTTGGTGGGGTCTGACCCACAGCACCAAGCATTGCCGCCAGGCCCGGCTCCTGGGCCGAGGCACGTTGCCCCTGCCTGTCAGTCTCGTTGGCCCCAGCGAGCCTTTTGTTAGGTTTTGCTTGCAGGAGGCTGCCATCCCCAGGAGGTGAGGGTGGGAAGGGGATGAAGGAGAGAAACGTGTCCCAATGACCCTGTCTTCCTTTCCCCTAGAACTCGGTGAAGGTGATGTACAAGTGCCTGTGGCCAAACTGCGGCAAAGTCCTGCGCTCCATCGTGGGCATCAAGCGCCACGTGAAGGCCCTCCACCTGGGGTAGGTGTGGGGCCCAGGGCCTGCTTGCCTCGGGTAGCATTCAGGTCTCCTCCACCCTGCTGGTGCCTGGGCACCCACAGCCCAGAATGCATCCAAGGAAATGACTTGCGGAGAGCGCCACCTGGTGCCTGCCCCTGGCCCAGCCGAGTGGCCTGTTGGAGAGAGTTCCTTGCTGGGAAGGAAGGACCCTCCTCTCCTGTCCCAGTGAATGTCGATCTATCTCAGCGGTTCTCAACCTGTGGGTCGCAACCCCTTTGGGGGTCGAATGACCCTTTCACAGGTGTACCCTAAGACCATTGGAAAACACATATATAATTACATATTGTTTTTGTCGTTAATCACTATGCTTTAATTATGTTCAGTTTGTAACAATGAAATTGGGGGTCACCACAACATGAGGAACTGTACTAAAGGGTCGCGGCATTAGGAAGGTTGAGAACCACTGGTCTACCTGTTCATGGGGAGGGAGCACCATCCGTCTGTGGGTGTGTCATCTTGCCTCACTGTAGGATGCAAGCTGTTAGAATTCTGGGTAGAAACAGGGTGATTTGGGGAGACCCCGTGGCGAGGCCTGCCCCTGCTTTCCCTCGGGGATCTGGGGCTCCGTCGATACGGCCGCCCCAGAGTCAGGGTGCTCTTGGCTGAGGGACTGGCTCACAGCCCTTTCCCTGGAGGAGAGACTGTGACAGCAACGAGGTGGGCCTGACAGGACCCGTGGCAGGGCTCAGGGTCAGACGACTCCTGCAGGAGGAGAGGTTCGTACACCCTGTGAGAGAGGAGAAGCCTCAGGTGCAGGAGAAACAGTCCCATTGATGTGCAAGCACGTTCTCCCCTGTGATGTTGAGTTGGGAATAGGCTCCTGTGTGGCCTCTTGGGCGCCTTCCTGACTCGCTGGGTGGCCCTGAGCAGACACCCCCTCTTTCGCCTCAGCTTCCCCTGTGTTTGAACTGAGGCAGCTTGTCCCTGACCACCGCGTGTCTCCCGCCCCCGCAGGGACTCTGTGGACTCCGACCAGTTCAAGCGGGAGGAGGATTTCTACTACACGGAAGTGCAGATGAAGGAGGAAGCAGCTGCTGCTGGCACCCCCTCCGCCGACTCAGCCCCCACCCCCGGTGTGACCAGCCCGCCCCTCGCCATTCTTCCACCGCCTCCTCCCAAAGGCCAGCCCCAGGGCCCAGAGCACCCTGGCCTGGAATCCTACCTGCCCTCCGGTGCTCTCAGCAAGTCAGCTCCCGGCTCTTTCTGGCACATTCAGGCCGACCATGCATACCAGGTATGGCTGGGGCACTCTGGGAGCTTAGCCTTGCGACCGTGAGGATGTTCCGTGTCTGACCTGTCACCCACCAGCCTGATCAAAGGCCACTGACCACCCCGATCGGAGGCTGAGCCCTGTAGCTAAATGGGTCGACTCTAACTTCTACAAAGAAGGAAAGGAAAATAAGTCACATTTGATAAATGAGGGGGGTTCCCGAGTTCTTCCTCGATGGCTGTCACGAGTGATTACTAGAAATCTGATTGAACCTGCAAGCACCCAGGTTGATGGATTTGGACAGGGGAGATGTTACACCGCTGGCTATAAAGGCACATAGAGTCGTGTCATTGGGCTTCCCAGAGCAAATCCTAGTCCCTAGAATTGTGTTACACTAAGAAATGATCCAGCACCTATTTTTAAAAACCCTACTATGTGTCAAGCAGTGGGGTAAGCTTTCCAGACAGAATAAGACATTGTACTGACCTTGAGAAATGCACGGTTTAGCTGGAGAGAGAAATGCATATGTAACTATGATTAATTATAATCGTCCATGTACCTTCCTGGGGGCACAAGACATTGTTGTGGGTACAGGAAGGACCAAGCTAGGATGCCCATGTGGTTAGGAAAGTTGTCACGAAGGGGGTGTCATTTAGGATGGTCTTCACTGTGCACATAGTAGGTATTCAGTAAATGCACAGCTTACCTTGTGCCAGTTTTTCTTTTAATGCTCTTGTGCCCACAGCTTGATTTTATCAGATTCCAGGCTGACTGGCAGGTTAGTAATTAGACAGCAGTGCGTTCAATCAGAAAACCTTCACAAAATGAGCCAGGCTTCCTCATTAGAATGAGTGGTCACTTAGCTATTTCATGTTTGACCAACTTTCAGGTGGCCCTTCAGGCACCTGGCTGCCGTTGGAGACTGTGCCTGGTGTTTTGATAGACAAACCTAAACCCGTTCATCCAGGAGAGTGTTGCTAATTCCATGTGGTTGCTGGGGACGCCCTACCCTTCTGCAGCAATCGCTCCCTGCCCAGGAGGCTTTGGGCCGTCTTTGGGGAACTGCCTATAGTGTGTTCTTGGTGGGTGATGATGACATCATGCGGCTAGCGTGTGTACCAGCTCTGAGAGGGGTTCCTAAAAAAGATTGCCTCCCAGGACTAAGGAGACAACGTCAGAGAGTTGGGAACTCTGCTGGTTCTCTTGGGAAGGGCATTCTGGCGGATCCCAGGGTTTCCCGCCAGAGACCTGCTGTGCATCCTGATGTCAGGGGAGGGTGGGTGGAGTCAGAGAGCCGGGACCTGGGCTGACGCAGTCTTGTCTCCCGCAGGCCCTGCCGTCTTTTCAGATCCCCGTCTCACCGCACATCTACACCAGTATCAGCTGGGCCGCCGCCCCCTCCACGGCATCCTCCCTCACTCCGGTGAGTGTGCCGGTCTCCGAGTCCCAGGGCTCTGCCACACAGACCCAGTGCTGGGGCCGTCTCCTCGCACTGCTCAGCAGCACCCACACTTCGTGAAGATCTCCCCCCGGCCTGGCACTCTCCAGCGGGTCCCAGCCCCTCTTAGCAGGTGGAAGGAGGGTGCCTGCAGAGAAGAAACCAGGTCATGCAAGTGTATTGCCAAGAAAATCACGAGGCGAGGCCAGGGGCAGTGCCCTGGTAGGCCCGAGTGTCTGTGGTGCTTGTTAAGAAGGGAGAGAATGTGGGGAACCTGGAGGGGAGGAGGGCGGAGGGCAAGCAAGAAGGTGGGAGCTGGTGGGGGCTGTGTAGGCCGGATCAGAAATCTCGTGGCCACCTTGGACCACTGCTCAGGTGGCTTGCCTCTGAACTAAAATGCACTGGAAGCTACTTGGACCGCCCACCGTGGGTTCTAGTCTTACACATCTCTGGTAGGAAGGGATCACACACTGGGAAGCCTGGGTGCCTGAACGTGGCGTTGAGACAGTGCCATCCCTTCTTTGCCGTCGCCTTGGTGAATGCCTCTAAGTCTTGAGGGAGCAGCCCCTGAAGTGGCCAGGCCAGCTCCCCTGCCCGTGGCCCCTACTCTCTCATGAGCGTCACTAAGAGGCTTGCTCCTCACTCTCCCGCTCCCCTCCCCTGGCCCCTGTTCACTTATGTCTGAAATGTCCCTCCGGAAAAGGCGTGCTGGCCCTCCTGGCACAAGGAGGGGCCCCGCGGGTGTGGCTGCCTGCCCTATGCTTATGGCCCCTCTCTCTGTGCCCAGGTCCGGAGCAGGTCGCTAAGCTTCAGCGAGCCCCAGCAGCCACCACCTGCCATGAAATCTCACCTGATTGTCACGTCTCCACCCAGGGCCCAGAGCAGCACCAGGTAAGGCCTCTGCTCCCAGCGCCTCCTCCTGGCTTTCGTCCCCACTGTCTCCACTGGGAACCACGCTGGGCGGGGTGAGCCGGCTGGAGGACACACAGCCTGTTTGCTCAGCCTCACGCCTGGCCACTCTCCGGGGCTAACTACCAGCTGGTGACGTGCCCTCATTACTCTCCCTTGGCAGGAAGGCCCGCGGGGAGGCTAAGAAGTGCCGCAAAGTGTACGGCATTGAGCACCGGGACCAGTGGTGCACAGCCTGCCGCTGGAAGAAGGCCTGCCAGCGCTTCCTGGACTGAACCGGCCGGCCGGCTCCCCCTCGCTGCTCCGGCCCCACGGCAGCCAGATGACAAAAGGCGGGCGGACCCGTGAGCCCTCAGCAGACACCTACCGATAAAGAGTGGACACTGGGAGTGTGGGCTCTCTTGGCTAAGGTTTAATACTTAAACCCCTTTTCCCTCCCTTGTGGGCACATTTTATTTTTTAAAAAGAGAAACCAACCTATTTTTTCCCCCCTCAAGGAGGAGAGAGCCCAAACTGACCAAGGGTATTCTGCAGCGAACTAGAGACCAAAGAATGAATGGGCCTCCCTTCCCCACATCCCCTCTCGCCAGGGGATTAGTGTGTAAGCATCAAATTTTTTAATTCTTTGCTTTCTCAACTCACCCAGAAAGGACTGTGAGCAAGATGAATTTACTTTTCTTAAAAAAAAAAAAGTTTCTGGCTGATGACTCAGCGAGCAGGACCTGCCATTGGGGTGGGAAGAGTCGGGGATATCTGGGCGGTTTTTTGGGGGTTTTTTTTGCAGCAAGCCCTTCTACACCTGAACCCTGGAGAATGGAGAGCTTGTCTCACCAAGCAGCTCCCATGGAAGTAAAAGGACAACCTTCTGGTGACAACTCTCTGAATCTGGGTCCCCTCAGACGTTGGGCGGCATCCCAACACAGACTGTGCGGCTGCTTCTCAAAGCCCAGACTTGGTGTTTTTTAAAGACTGTCCCCAAATAGCTGAGCCAAAAGGCTGATCAGAATTCACTTTTTGACATGTGGCGGTCAAACACTACCTTGATATTCTTTCCTCTTTCCTTGAGGAAAAGCGAGAGGGTTTCCGTATCTGTGAAAGCTCTCTGCTAAAACACTTTGTTTTCTTTTATGGTGTATTCAGAAGCCTTTATCTGATTACAGTTCCCCTTTATTTGGGTGGTAGGTTCCTCTCTGCCTCTGCTTTCACCAGGGATTTCCCCATTTCCCTCCCGAGGCCACAGGCAGGGCTGGTGGGGAAGGAGAGAGAAGAGCATAGGTAGGTAGGTGAGTGGCAGCTTGTCCACCGATGGAGAAGCAGTTGGCAGGTCTCTCATTGTTTGATGGCTCAGCTGCCCCTTTGGGAGCAATCTCATCCCTCCCTTAGGTGACAAGTGGGATAGGACACAAAGCAGGAGGCTTCTGGATTTGTTACGTGGGTTGGCCCAGCCTGGTGATGAGGAGGTAATGTTATCTTAGTGTGGTGTGACCTTCCCAGGTACCTGCTAGCACCTTCTTGCTTGAGGACAGGATGGAGAAGGTTAGAGAGAGAGCTGAGGAAATGGAGTGAGGAGGGGATGCCTTCCCAGCTCCTGGTGTGTTAGCCTGGGGTGTTTCTGGAGGCCTCGGCAATTGAGGGGAGCCTGTACCGCATTGCTCAGGAGGTTAATGAGCAAAGCTTGTCTGCGGAGAAGGAGAGAGATGTGGCGAGTTTAGTGCCATGCCCACCAGGGGTTAAGATGGGGTGAGCTGAGCCCCTGTTGGTTTCAGAGCCTTGCCTTCCTTCCTAGGAACTGTGGCCATTCCCTGGGGCCTGCTTGACCAGCTGCCTCGGACCCATGCCCTAGATGTCAGAGGCTCAGGAAACCCCACCAAGCCACTCTGGGGACAGAGCAGCAGCATCCCCCCGTGGGCTGTCATTGAGCCCAGGAGGAAACCTCCTGCCTCAGGGGGAAATACCTGGCTATTGGGAGCTCCTTTGGCCGCATATGCCTCGCCGCGGGAGGCAGGTGGAGTGTGCGGACACCTGCCCACCTGAGAACAGGGCGTGGCTTGTGAAGGGTGATGGGGACCTGGGTTTGGTGACAGAGGGAAAAACAGTTATGCACAGGTGTCTTGGGTGGTGATGGGGTATATTTTTATAGCTTCATGAAAAAAGGTATGTGGAATCTCTTCCTCGGTAAAGCTCAAAGCCAGGCCAGCAGGAGGTGGCCCAGGGCTCTCCTTCCTGTCCCTTCAACCTCCCCGAGAATGAAAAGCTTGTCCTGATTCTTCTCACCTCCCACGCTGTCCGTTTTCGGGGAGGGAAGGAGGGGGGAGGGAAGGGGAGGGCGTGTGTGAGATGCGGGATGCTGCCCAGCAGTATCTTCCCTTCCCTCCCCTTCCCTTCTTAATCCCATCTTTAGAAAAGCTGTTCTCATTTCCCCCCTCGGTTTGGATTGTGCAGATATAACTGGATATAAAGGTTTTCTCTACGGGAGGTGGGCTTTTCGTGTCTTTGGTACCCAGGGCAGAGAAGGAAGAGAGAAAGAAGTTGACGAAACCATTGAAAAACGGAGGTGGTTTTATTTTTTATTTTATCTTTTGGTGTTTTGTTTTGGTGCGGCTTTCCCTGTCTGCATTTGCTCCTGTCTTATTTCGGGTGGTGGCGGCCTCTTCTGGCGTCCCTCTTCCCGCACCTCAACCTCGTGGCTGTTGTGTTGGTTCTTGACATGTGGTCTGTCCTTGGGGTTACCCCGTTTGTTTCTTCTCGGAGGGTGGGGTGGTTTGTGAACCGATCCAGCGATCATGCCTGTTTGTTTTTTTCATCTCTGTGTCTCTCTCCCTAACTTCCCGGCCCACCCGGGCAGCAGAATCTGAGAGAAGGTAAGATGCCACAGGTGCACGTTGGAAACTAACAGGACTGATCGTCAAATGCAGTTATTTTGGGGAAACTTTATTTCACTGGCGTTACCCTTATTCAAAATATTTCTTGGAGTTACCTTGGGAGTCTGGTGCCTACCGTGACCAGCCTTAATGATACGAAACCTGCCCTCAGGCTTCCTCAGTGCGGAGAGAGTCCCGAATGTCGGTGGCCAAGTGAGGTCACGGGTACAAAGCACCAGGACTGACTAGTGAGTACAGTAATTGGACTCAATTATGTGATGTTGGAAGCTGGCTGGGGAAGCAGTTCTGCAGTTTTAGAGAACGTTTTGAGCAATGTCCACATGGCGATGGTACACCTATGGCTCCTGTCCTTGGAGGACATTATTAGTTTGGAGGTGGATACTCTGATTTGTTTGAAGAAATCTGTCCTGTTATTTTCTGCTTCTCCCAGGTTCTGACTGTGAGGACTGGGGAGAGAGAGAGAGAGAGGAGGGGAGGAGAGGGAGAGGGAGAGGGAGAGGGAGGGAGATAAATCCCATTTGTGAATTTGTCTTATTGGCGCCTTTTCCCCCAGCTGTCTTCCAAGTATTATTTTTACTGTTAAAAAAGTTTTTTGTTTTTTTTTAAATGTGAAATGTAATGTTTTTACAGCAACAATATGAAATATATTTTATAAGGAATAAAATGGTACATAAAATGGTACATTGTAGAGGGAGAGGGAGAGGGAGAGGGAGGGAGATAAATCCCATTTGTGAATTTGTCTTATTGGCGCCTTTTCCCCCAGCTGTCTTCCAAGTATTATTTTTACTGTTAAAAAAGTTTTTTGTTTTTTTTTAAATGTGAAATGTAATGTTTTTACAGCAACAATATGAAATATATTTTATAAGGAATAAAATGGTACATAAAATGGTACATTGTCTGATTGAATGTGTGCCTGTCCCTCC